CACATGACCAAAAGCTCCAACTAACCTTGTGGTATCTAATTAATTTTTCTAGATTGATATTAGAAGCTATTAAGAATGCTTATGACATTATACCAGTGACATCATACCAGTGACATCATACCAGTGACATCATACCAGTGACATCATACCAGTGACATCATACCAGTGACATCATACCAGTGACATCATACCAGTGACATCATACCAGTGACATCATACCAGTGACATCATACCAGTGACATCATACCAGTGACATCATACCAGTGACATCATACCAGTGACATCATACCAGTGACATCATATCAGTGACATCATACCAGTGACATCATACAGTGACATCATACCAGTGACATCATACCAGTGACATCATACCAGTGACATCAAACCAGTGACATCATACCAGTGACATCATACCAGGACATCATACGTGACATCATACCAGTGACATCATACCGTGACATCATACCAGTGACATCATACCAGTGACATCATACCAGTGACATCATACCAGTGACATCATACCAGTGACATCATACCAGTGACATCATACCAGTGACATCATACCAGTGACATCATACCCGTGACTCTACCGTACATCCACCAGTGAATCATACCCGTGAACATCTTGTTATTCGTCATCATATTACAGTATTATCATCCAGTAGTCTACCATTTAACTTAATTATTCAATAGTAAACTATTATCATAGAAAACTATTATCATAGTAAACTATTATCATAGTAACTTTATCATAGTAACTATTATCATAGTAACTATTATCATAGTAACTATTATCATAGTAACTATTATCATAGTAACTATTATCATAGTAACTATTATCATAGTAACTATTATCATAGTAACTATTATCATAGTAACTATTATCATAGTAACTATTATCATAGTAACTAGTATCATTTTCTTAACTCACATCATGCCATCACCTTTATTTTCACAATGGTTTCTTTCATGGTCATTATCATGAGCCCCCCTGGGGCAGGGAATATGGCAGACCAGAGGCCTAACTTCTCCCTACGAGCCCCCCTGGGGCAGGGAATATGGCAGACCAGAGGCCTAACTTCTCCCTACGAGCCCCCTGGGGCAGGGAATATGGCAGACCAGAGGCCTAACTTCTCCCTACGAGCCCCCCTGGGGCAGGGAATATGGCAGACCAGAGGCCTAACTTCTCCCTACGAGCCCCCCTGGGGCAGGGAATATGGCAGACCAGAGGCCTAACTTCTCCCTACGAGCCCCCCTGGGGCAGGGAATATGGCAGACCAGAGGCCTAACTTCTCCCTACGAGCCCCCCTGGGGCAGGGAATATGGCAGACCAGAGGCCTAACTTCTCCCTACAAGCCCCCTGGGGCAGGGAAATGGCAGACCAGGGGCCTAACTTCTCCCTACAAGCCCCCCTGGGGCAGGGAATATGGCAGACCAGAGGCCAAAAACTTCTCCCTACGGGGCCCCCCTGGGGCAGGGAATATGGCAGACTAGAGGCCTAACTTCTCCCTACGAGCCCCCCTGGGGCAGGGAATAGGGGCAGACCAGAGGCCTAAACTTCTCCCTACGAGCCCCCCTGGGCGGGGAAATTATGGCAGACCAGAGGCCTAACTTCTCCCTACGAGCCCCCCTGGGGCAGGGAATATGGCAGACCAGAGGCCTAACTTCTCCCTACGAGCCCCCCTGGGGCAGGGAATTTTGGCAGACCAGGGGCCCTAACTTCTCCCTACGACCCCCCCTGGGGCAGGGAATATGGCAGACTAGAGGCCTAACTTCTCCCTACGACCCCCCCTGGGCGGGGAAAATATGGCAGACCAGAGGCCTAACTTCTCCCTACGAGCCCCCCTGGGGCAGGGAATATGGCAGACCAGAGGCCTAACTTCTCCCTACAAGCCCCCCTGGGGCAGGGAATATGGCAGACCAGAGGCCTAACTTCTCCCTACGAGCCCCCCTGGGGCAGGGAATATGGCAGACCTAGCCTAACTTCTCCCTACGAGCCCCCTGGGGCAGGGAATATGGCAGACCAGTGCCTAACTTCTCCCTACGAGCCCCCCTGGGGCAGGGAATATGGCAGACCAGAGGCCTAACTTCTCCCTACGAGCCCCCCTGGGGCAGGGAATATGGCAGACCAGAGGCCTAACTTCTCCCTACGAGCCCCCCTGGGGCAGGGAATATGGCAGACCAGAGGCCTAACTTCTCCCTACGAGCCCCCCTGGGGCAGGGAATACGGCAGACCATAGGCCTAACTTCTCCCTACGAGCCCCCCTGGGGCAGGGAATATGGCAGACCAGAGGCCTAACTTCTCCCTACGAGCCCCCCTGGGGCAGGGAATATGGCAGACCAGAGGCCTAACTTCTCCCTACGAGCCCCTTTGGGGCAGGGAATATGGCAGACCAGAGGCCTAACTTCTCCCTACGAGCCCCCCTGGGGCAGGGAATATGGCAGACCAGAGGCCTAACTTCTCCCTACGAGCCCCCCTGGGGCAGGGAATATGGCAGACCAGAGGCCTAACTTCTCCCTACGAGCCCCCCTGGGGCAGGGAATATGGCAGACCAGAGGCCTAACTTCTCCCTACGAGCCCCCCTGGGGCAGGGAATATGGCAGACCAGAGGCCTAACTTCTCCCTACGACCCCTCTGGGGCAGGGAAATAATGGCAGACCAGAGGCCTAACTTCTCCCTACGAGCCCTCTGGGGCAGGGAAATGGCAGACCAGAGGCCTAACTTCTCCCTACGAGCCCTCTGGGGGCAGGGAATAGGCAGACCAGAGGCCTAACTTCTCCCTACGAGCCCCCCTGGGGCAGGGAATATGGCAGACCAGAGGCCTAACTTCTCCCTACGAGCCCCTCTGGGGCAGGGAATATGGCAGACCAGAGGCCTAACTTCTCCCTACGAGCCCCTCTGGGGCAGGGAATATGGCAGACCAGAGGCCTAACTTCTCCCTACGAGCCCCTCTGGGGCAGGGAATATGGCAGACCAGAGGCCTAACTTCTCCCTACGAGCCCCTCTGGGGCAGGGAATATGGCAGACCAGAGGCCTAACTTCTCCCTAACGAGCCCTCGGGGGCAGGGAATATGGCAGACCAGAGGCCTAATCTTCCCAAACGAGCCCCTCTGTGGCAGGGAATATGGCAGACCAGAGGCCTAACTTCTCCCTACGAGCCCCTCGGGGCAGGGAATATGGCAGACCAGAGGCCTAACTTCTCCCTACACCCCCTCTGGGGCAGGAATATGGAGACCAGGGGCCCCTAACTTCTCCCTACGACCCCCCTGGGGCAGGGAATATGGCAGACCAGAGGCCTAACTTCTCCCTACGAGCCCCTCTGAGGCAGGGAAATGGCAGACCAGAGGCCAAACTTCTCCTACGAGCCCCTCTGGGCAGGGAATATGGCAAAACCAGAGGCCTAACTTCTCCCTACAAGCCCCCCTGGGGCAGGGAATATGGCAGACCAGAGGCCTAACTTCTCCCTACGAGCCCCCCTGGGGCAGGGAATATGGCAGACCAGAGGCCTAACTTCTCCCTACGAGCCCCCTGGGGCAGGAATTATGGCAGCCCCAGAGGCCTAACTTCTCCCTACGAGCCCCTCGGGGGGCAGGGAATATGGCAGACCAGAGGCCTAACTTCTACCCTACGAGCCCCTCTGGGGCGGGGAATATGGCAGACCAGAGGCCTAACTTCTCCCTACGAGCCCCTCTGGGGCAGGGAATATGGCAGACCAGAGGCCAACTTCTCCTACGAGCCTCCCTGGGGCAGGGAATATGCAAACCAGGGGCCCCTAACTTCTCCCTACGAGCCCCCCTGGGGCAGGGAATATGGCAGACCAAAGGCCTAACTTCTCCCTCCCGAGCCCCTCTGGGGCAGGGAATATGGAGACCAGAGGCCTAACTTCTCCCTACGAGCCCCTCGGGGGCAGGGAAATATGGCAGACCAGAGGCCTAAACTTCTCCCAAAAGCCCCCCTGGGCAGGAAATGGCAGACCAGAGGCCTAACTTCTCCCTACGAGCCCCCCTGGGGCAGGGAATATGGCAGACCAGAGGCCTAACTTCTCCCTACGAGCCCCCCTGGGGCAGGGAATATGGCAGACCAGAGACCTAACTTCTCCCTACAAGCCCCCCTGGGGCAGGGAATATGGCAGACCAGAGGCCTAACTTCTCCCTACGAGCCCCCCTGGGCAGGGAATATGGCAGACCAGGGGCCCTAACTTCTCCCTACGAGCCCCCTGGGGCAGGGAATAGGCAAAACCCAGAGGCCCTAACTTTCCCTCCCACGAGCCCCCCTGGGGCAGGGAATAGGGCAGACCAGGGGCCTAACTTCTCCCTATGAGCCCCCCTGGGGCAGGGAATATGGCAGACTAGAGGCCTAACTTCTCCCTACGAGCCCCTCTGGGGCAGGGAATATGGCAGCCCAAAGAGGCCTAACTTCTCCCTACGAGCCCCCCTGGGGCAGGGAATATGGCAGACCAGAGGCCTAACTTCTCCCTACGAGCCCCCCTGGGGCAGGGAATATGGCAGACCAGAGGCCTAACTTCTCCCTACAAGCCCCCCTGGGGCAGGGAATATGGCAGACCAGAGGCCTAACTTCTCCCTACGAGCCCGGTGAGGGCGGGCAATGTGGCTAGGCCTGGGGACAGTTGGTCCCAGAAAATGAGGAAATACTTGTACCTCCTCCCATGGCAGACTTAGATCTCAGACACTCCCAAGATAGGGAGCCAAGACCGGGTCACCACCTGGAAAAGACCCGGACTGGGAGAATATCTTCCCTGTTACAGTTATATGCACAAAAATCCTTGTGTCAACAGTGTTTCTGTCGAAACTAGATACAACGCCTCTCCTCTCCTTAACGTCAGTCAACTTGTCAGTTTAGAAACAGACAAGTTGAAGAATGGGAAATTTGTACAACATCTGCGAATCTTTATTGTGGAAACGTTTCCCAACACAGTGGCTTCATCAGTCCAATGGAAAGAAAAGGAGGAGTTTGAGGTGATTAGTCCCTCAGCCTGGAATTGATGTGTTCAGTACTTTCTTCAACACTGATGGGCTTAACACGTCGATTTCATGCTGGTGGACTGAATACGTCAAATTCCTTCATTTTTTCTATCGTTCTTTGTCTTACATCACTACAAACGTCATCATCTAAATATCAACCCCTTCATCACCACCATCTTCACCACCAACATCGTCAACATGACTCCTCCATTTCTCCTGTTATCAACATTCTCCTGCTCTTCCCCAACATTGTCAACAACTTCATATCTCGCTCATCGATTCCCATGTTCCTCTTCCCTGCTTCTCCAGCAAGTTGTGGGCAGTCCACCAGAGGCAGACGTGTCTTCTACGACCTTCCCTCAGAAAACAATTTCGGCCTCTGGTATAAGATGGAGATGACGTACACTCAGGTGCATATACGATATAGTGTCGACTTGTGGTATCAAGCTACGGCATTTGAAGTCTGGCCTGTATGGTCCAACACAGAGGAATACAGAGGTATCACTTCAGCAGATCTTAGGGTAAGTCTTGTAAATGCGAATCTTTGAAACAACTTGAAAGCTTAGAAATCAACGTAAATTACACTGTAGAAAACAGGTAGAACAAAAATGACCTTGGGTTGGATAATATAAAGCCACCCCCTCGGTTCCCCCCTCCACTGCCCTATAGCCCCACCCCTCTCCACCACACACATACACATAAAAATACACCTCTTTCTTGGTATTATGTTTACTGCAAATTCAAAACAACTAATCTAACACTATAAACAACCGTATTTATTTCACAAATAAAAATTAACATAGTAAACTCTTTCATTTAACAGTAGGAAAGGGTAAATTTACATATCTGTCAGATGTCCGATCTGGCTGACGTGTGGCGCGTCCGAACAAACGTTCGGACTTTTAACTCCGATTTCGGTCCACAAAAATAAAAGTAGGCTTTGGTGTATAACTCAATGTTCAATTGATTCTTTGTGAAGCATTTGTGATACTTAAGTGTTCGTGATTTAAATCCCTGGATATTTCCACCGCTCCCAGGGGGCGATTCTGCCCACTTTGGGAATCACTTGAAGGTTAGAAACGACTCTAGGTGGAATCTAGATTGTAAAATATTACGAATAACTACATTCTGAACGCTAGAGAACTGGTGAGTTGGGAATGACTGAAGAGTCACGAAATGATAGAAAAACGAGAAATGAATAATGGCTGGGTACTAGACAATAAGATGATGATGTGTATAGAATGGACACTTTCCTATCAGTTGGCTAGACACCAACTGATAGGAAAGTGAGGAATGATGGATAACTGGACACAGGATTATAGTAACGTTGGAGATAAATGGAAGCTGCACACTTGTGGTGAGGAAAATAAAGAATGACTGTAGACTGAACACGTGCTGACAGGATTGTGAAGAATGACTGTAGACCGTAGACAGGATGGTGAAGAATGACTGTAGACCGTAGACAGGATGGTGAAGAATGACTGTAGACTGTAGACAGGATGGTGAAGAATGAATGTAGACCGTAGACAGGATGGTGAAGAATGACTGTAGACTGTAGACAGGATGGTGAAGAATGACTGTAGACTGAACACGTGCTGACAGGATGGTGAAGAATGACTAAGTTGAATACCAGAAGTGAGGTAAGGAATGGATGTAAAAAGGGTATCCAATACCGACATGCTGATAAATAAGACACATAGTCAACAGTTAGGTATTTTGATTCCGAAACGTTTCGCCTACACAGAAGGCATTTTCAGTCGAGTAAAGAGGAGTTGTAGAACCAGAGATATGAAGATAATGTAATGACTCTATCAGTGTAGACTGATCACCTGATGATAGGAAGAACAAGACTGACTAAGGTGGGTATCAGACGATAAGAATGTGAGGAATGACTACAAGCAGGACTTTAAAATATACAAGGGAAAGGACAACTGAACGATAAAGAATAGGAATGTGAGGAATGATTGATAGCATGACATTAGAGGTATGATTTGTAGATGAATGGTTCAGAGAACCGACATGTTGATAAATTAGACACATGTGCAACTCTTGGGTATCTTTATTGAGGAAACGTTTCGCCACACAGTGGCTTCATCAGTCCATACACAGGAGAAACTTGAAGAACAGGAGGAGAATGAGGTAATCAGTTCCTCAACCTTGAGTCGATGTGGTCAGCCCATCAATCTTGAATAGAATACGGAAGATGAGCGGAGAAGCAGCTTATAAACCGTATGGCAGGATAGGTGCAGCAGTCATAGGTGGTGTCACATTTGTTCAATGTGGAAGTAGGTCGTGCCCAAGAATTAGGTAAGCGAAGAATTCCCAAGTATTAAGATCCCAAGAAGTTGCAGTGTCTGACAGGTTTGGGAATTCTTCACTTGTCTAATTCTTGGGCACGACCTACTTCCACATTGAACAAATGTGACACCACCTATGACTGCTGCCATACGGTTTATAAGCTGCTTCTCCGCTCATCTTCCGTATTCTATTCAAGATTGATGGACTGAACACATCGACTCAAGGTTGAGGAACTGATTACCTCATTCTCCTCCTGTTCTTCAAGTTTCTCCTGTGTATAGACTGATGAAGCCACTGTGTGGCGAAACGTTTCCTTAATAAAGATACCCAAGAGTTGCACATGTGTCTAATTTACTAGAGGTATGATTGATAGCATGACATTAGAAGAATGGATGTCAGCTGAGCCTAGAAACTAAGGTGAGGAATGACTGTTAAGTTAAATAATAAGACTGAGGAATGACTATAGAATGAACACCTGAGAAATGGAAGTTAAGGAATGACATGATGCGATACTAGATAAGAAGAGAGAGAAGGTTATATACTTGAAGATAAGGTGTGGAATGACTGGAGCAGAACATTAGAGGTTAAGAAGGTAAGGAATGACTTAGAACGAACAATAGTGGACATGAGTATGAGGAATGATTGTAGGAAGGTAAGGAATGATAGAAGGTCTAACACTACAGATAAGAGCATAAGAAGGAACACTGCAACTGGCCTACAGGCCTATACGAGGCAGGTCCAATTCTCCCACTGGCTTAAGCCAATGCCTTGACCTAGTCAAGTCAGACACGTCACTTAAGGGAGGAGCAGAGCTGAGGAATGACATCAGGTTGAACACGGAGGATGCTGAGGAATGACATCAGGTTGAACACGGAGGATGCTGAGGAATGACATCAGGTTGAACACGGAGGATGCTGAGGAATGACATCAGGTGAACACGGAGATGCGAGGAATGACATCAGGTTGAACCGGAGGTGCTGAAAAATGACATCAGGTTGAACACGGAGGATGCTGAGGAATGACATCAGGTTGAACACGGAGGATGCTGAGGAATGACAGGTTGAACACGGAGGATGCTGAGGAATGACATCAGGTTGAACACGGAGGATGCTGACAAATGACATCAGGTTGAACACGGAGGATGCTGAGGAATGGCATCAGGTTGAACACGGAGGATGCTGAGGAATGACACCAGGTTGAACACAGAGGATGCTGAGGAATGACACCAGGTTGAACACGGAGGATGCTGAGGAATGGCATCAGGTTGAACACGGAGGATGCTGAGGAATGACACTAGGTTGAACACAGAGGATGCTGAGGAATGACACCAGGTTGAACACGGAGGATGCTGAGGAATGACAGGTTGAACACGGAGGATGCTGAGGAATGACATCAGGTTGAACACGGAGGAGCTGAGGAATGACATCAGGGTTTAACACGGAGGATGCTGAGGGAAAGACATCAGGTTGAACACGGAGGATGCTGAGGAATGACACCAGGTTGAACACGGAGGATACTGAGGAATGACTGGTTGAACACGGAGGATGCTGAGGAATGACAGGTTGAACACGGAGGATGCTGAGGAATGACATCAGGATGAACACGGAGGATGCTGCGGAATGACATCAGGTTGAACACGGAGGATGCTGAGGAATGACATCAGGTTGAACACGGAGGATGCTGAGGAATGACATCAGGTTGAACACGGAGGATGCTGAGGAACGACATCAGGTTGATCACGGAGGATGCTGAGGAATGACATCAGGTTGAACACGGAGGATGATTTAGGAAAGACATCAGGTTTAACCCGGGGATGATGAGGAATGACAAACAGGTTGAACACGGAGGATGCTGAGGAATGACATCAGGATGAACACGGAGGATGCTGAGGAATGACATCAGGTTGAACACGCAGGATGCTGAGGAATGATATCAGGTTGAACACGGAGGATTCTGAGGAATGACATCAGGTTAAACACGGAGGATGCTGAGGAATGACATTAGGTTGAACACGGAGGATGCTGAGGAATCACAGGTTGAACACGGAGGATGCTGAGGAATGACAAGTTGAACACGGAGGATGCTGAGGAATGACATCAGGATGAACACGGAGGATGCTGAGGAATGACATCAGGTTGAACACCGAGGATGCTGAGGAATGACATCAGGTTGAACACGGAGGATATTGAGGAATGGCAGGTTGAACACGGAGGATGCTGAGGAATGACAGGTTGAACAAGGAGGATGCTGAGGAATGACAGGTTGAACACGGTGGATGCTGAGGAACGACAGGTTGAACACGGAGGATGCTGAGGAATGACAGGTTGAACAAGGAGGATGCTGAGGAATGACAGGTTGAACACGGAGGATGCTGAGGAATGAGAAGTTGAAAAAAGGAGGATGCTGAGGAATGAAAAGGTTGAACAAGGAGGAGCTGAGGAATGGCTGGTTGAACAAGGAGGATTCTGAGGAATGACAGGTTGAACCCCGGAGGGTGCTGAAAGGGAAAGACAGGTTGAACACGGAGGAAAGCTGAGGAATGAAAGGTTGAACACGGAGGATGCTGAGGAATGACAGGTTGAACACGGAGGGATGCTGAGGAATGGGCAGGTTGAACACGGAGGAAGCTGAGGAATGACAGGTTGAACACGGAGGATGCTGAGGAATGGGCAGGTTGAACCGGAGGATGCGAGGAATGACAGGTTAAACACGGAGGGTGCTGAGGAATGACAGGTTGAACTCGGAGGATGCTGAGGAATGAAGGGTTAACACGGAGGATGGGTGAGGAATGGCAGGTTGAACACGGAGGATGCTGAGGAATGACAGGTTTGAACACGGAGGATGCTGGGAATGACAGGTTGAACACGGAGGATGCTGAGGATTGACAGGTTGAACACGGAGGATGCTGAGGAATAACAGGTTGAACAGGGAGGATGCTGAGGAATGACACCAGGTTGGAACACGGAGGATGCTGAGAAATTTACAGGTTGAACACGGAGGATGCTGAGGAATGAATCAGTTTTAACACGGGGATGCTGAGGAATGACAGGTTGAACACGGAGGATGCTGAGGAATGGCAGGTTGAACACGGAGGATGCTGAGGAATGACAGGTTGAACACGGAGATGCTGAGAAAATGACATCAGGTTGAACACCCGGGGGATTTCTGAGGGAAAAGACAGGTTGAACACGGAGGATGCTGAGGAAGACAGGTTGAACACGGA